ATTCAATTTTTCCACAAAATCAATTTGAAGATCTCTATGATAAGCTGATGTGGATAGATTTGATTGTAAATGGAAATTTAATTTCGAATTCGATTTTGGAATATGAAGAACTGGTTGATTTTGGTTTTGATGAACTCGATGAAGAACAGATGAAGAACTTTATTTTTCTCGGATGGTTAAAGACGAAAGTCAACATTTTGTTTTTGATCTAAAATTGATATTGAGAAGATAATTGTGGTGTTTGTCGGTAATCGAATTTGAATAGTCAAACTCAGAAAGTCAACATTTGTGTTCTTGGATGTTGAATGATCGATGCTTGGGTATCAAGATCGATAGTCGACTGGAACCAAAAAGGATTTGGATTCGATGGCTAATCGCTGATGTTGATTTGATAATCATTGAATGTTCGACTGAAGTCTTTGTCGTTTCACTATTCGTTGATTTTGATTTTGTTAAGGACGAAGGACTGGTTGAATGGTCAAGTTGGATTAATGAAAACTGAAGGATGTGTTTTGAGTATGAGTCAGTAATCGATGACTGCTTGGCATTGAGAATCGAAGGTTTGATTTTGTGATGCTATTGAAATCGATGATTGGAGAATCAATGTTGAGTATATGGAATGGTTTAACCAGAATGTGTTTATTAGGGTCTATGGATGGATTGCAGAAAGCAAAGGGTAGCCGATGAATGAAAAAGCGAAGGATGATTTGGATTGATCAAAGAACGAACTGATTGAAGACAGGATTTGTTTTTTAATGAATGTCTATTGATTTTGGGGAAGAACTGTAAGAACGAAGGTTTGGAATTGTGGGTTTGAGTCGACGATTTGTGAGGAAATAATGAAACGAAGGTTTTGCTATTCCAAAACTAACAACAAATTGGTATTATGAAGGAAAGATAATCTGGTTGATTGAAGACGAAGGCAGACAAAATCGTGATTTAGAAGGTCTTCGATAAGCTAGTGTTGTTGATTGAAAGTGAATGATGAGCAGGTTTTGGGTTCACACCAAAAAGCGAAGGCTGTGTTGAAATTAGCATTAATGGTCGATGGATCGATTTTGATGGTTTCCATTTTAATAACGAAGAGGTTACTGTTCATGGATAAGGCTTCGAATGCCTTCGTTTTCGTTAAATGGCAGTGAAAAAATTCTTTAAAACGGTGTTGTAGTTTTGGTGCTCTGATTGAACGAAGGGGGGAGAGAAAATGGGAAAATGATTTCGTACGAAGGGTGATGAAGTTTCGTACGAAGGGGAGAAAGAAAAATTTTCGTACGTTGAAAGGAAATTGGGAAGATGAAGTTTCATATGAAGGGTGGAGATGAAGTTTCATACGAAGGGTGCTGTGATTTCGTATGAATTAGGGAAGAAGAAAGCAAAGTTTCGTAAATGGTCCTTAAAGTTTCTTTAGTTTAACATCTTTTTCAACTCTTCGTATGATTGGGACAACATTTCGTATGTTTCGAAGAAAAGTGCAGAAGTTTTGAAATCACCCCCTGAAGTTTCGAAAATTTGGCGCTTCATACCTAAATTCGAAAAAGGACTAATTTTGCTGAGAATTTGAAGAAAATGCATTCCAGGCCCCTGCAGTTTATGCAAATTCACGCTTTCTACCTAGCTTTGGAAAAGGGGGAGAGTTTTGCATTTTTTGCTGTTTTGGGCGCACCGGGTCACTGCAGAATTTTGAAATTGACAATTTCTACCCATTTTTGAGAAATTTTGTCAAAGGAGGTCCGTGAACGAAGCTAAAAATTGAAGATTTTTTGGATTTTCCGGATTGAAGCACAAAGTTTATGCCACATGCTAAGGGGGAGTTTTGACACGAAAAATTCCGAATAAAGCACGTTCTCTTTCCTTGAAGGTTTTATAATCAAATTTCGATTATAAAAAGGGGGAGAAATATATATGGAAATTCGAACTTGAATTTTTCATATTACGCGGAAGTGATTGAAGAACCAAGTTAACAACCAACTTCCTCGAGACATCGACTCCTAATTTTCCCAGCCTGCCAATGTGTGACTTCATCTCCAAGACATGTGCACACACAAACCTTCCATCTTGGTGTTTGCTAGCCAACAAGTTTTGAGTGACCTTGAACTTTTGAAGTCTTCGAAAATGTGGGTTAGGGAGAACTATTGGAGGAGGTGGAGGAAGAGAATCATGTTGGGGTACAAACTTATCCATGTATGACTTTGTAATGGTTTGACTTTTGTAAGACCCACTTGCATGTGGTGCATTAGCCTTTTGACTCATGAGATAGAGAGTGAGAGAGAGACATGTAAACACCTCTATATAAGGTGGGTTCATACCAGTTGTAGAGTTGTGCTTGAGAGGTGTAAAAGTGAGTGTGTAAGTGTGTCTTATTTATGTAGATGTATATCTATGTCCCTTTTTGTAACACCATACATATTCAATACATCTCTTGAACACCCAAATCACCATGTTCATTGTGTAATCTTTAATTCTGCATGCCAAACCATGTTCTATAATCACTACAAATCATGATTTCCACGATCAAATCGTGGGACATCATCTTCATGAGATAAGTTATTTCCAAAAGATTCGGAAAGATCATAGTTGTCAGAACTAGACATCTACAGGGATAAATTCAAGTTAGTTGATTTAAGTCCTTAATATAACATGCAAAATGAAATATTAACGCTAGGACCCAACACAATATTCTACAATTTGGAAGAGGGATGTCGTAATCCAATTGTAAAATATTTGAAGGTAGGTAAATGACGATTACCAATTTCCACCATGAAAAATGAAAATGAATATTAGGTTTTAGATGAATTGAAATTCCTAGATTCTTTGAGATTCATTGAACTTTTCAATGGCATGTTTAATCTCGAATATGCCCTTCAATTTTGTGACTGGGATGCCGAGGATCACAAACAATATGTGAATAACCATGCAAATGTGTTTGGTACTCTAAATGTTACAAATAACCTCATCAATGTGTCGGTTAACCACACACGCTCCATTGATCCATGATTAACATCAAGCTACCCTTTGCCACCCTTGTTAGTCCCAAATTAGTGTGCTGGTTAACCACACACGCTCCATTAACGACTTAGCAAGGTGCAAAGTGCAATTTCATGGGTTAGCATCAAATTCACATTTTCCTAAAGTAACTAAGATTGAGATTTATAAAAATTTTAGTTACTTTATATTTCATTATACTTTTAATGAGGATTTAAATGTCACTACAAGAAAAATGACTTACAGTCACACCAAAAAAGTGTGACCATATGCGTATAGTGACATTTTATTTTTTCACTGAAAGTGTGACGGAAGGTGACGCCATCGTATGGGTCTTATGGTCACTTTAAAATGTAGTGTCCGTATGATATGAAAATATGTGGCCGTATTATAAAAGTGTGGCAAATGTGTACGGAATTTTGTTCCTTAAATATCCAATATTGTAGCATTAAACCGTCAGTAGACACATTTATTTAGTAACTATGGTGACTGTATATCACCAACTTGCGACATTCATGATGTTTTAGTGTAGTTGTTTTCTTTTATATTGTCACACAATTTAAATTTTATTAAGACTATTGTGTATCTTTTGTAAACATGTAATTACGGTGAGCATGACCATGTTTGCTAGATGGCCACATGTAATTAATTCCATAAGTGGCGAATTGCTAAAAATTAGTCACAAAAAAACAATCAATTTTTGTGACTATAGCCTATCGTATAGAGACACACAATTAAGTGAAATACAATCATAAGTATTATAAAGAAACACATTTTGTTAAAATTAAGGACTATTCGGTGTCGTATTAAGACTATTGGGTATATTTTAGACACATATAATTACGGTGAACATGTCCATGTTCGGTAAATGGACACATATAATTAATGAGGTAAGTGACGATTTGCTAGTATTTAGTCTCAATAACAATCAATTATGGTATTTATTTGCCACATAAATTTTTTTTGTGTTGTTATTGTTGAACTTATCGTCACAAAAACTTTAGAAAACATGATTTTAAAATAATTGTAGACTCATAATTACTTTAGATTATGGTTATTATTAACCGTTTAGCCATATGGCAAAAAATGATATAATGTCACCATTGTAAAATTTTAGAGACATTGAAAAACTATAAAACATAGCCAAATTTATATTAAAGTCACAATAATTTAGTTTTTGTTGTTACTTTTTCTATATTGTAGACACATTAAAAGAATATAAATTAAAGTCATCAAAACCCGACAATATGAAACAATATCAAAATTCAGAATTAGATGTTATTAATAACTGAAATCCAAATCCATACATTAAATTCGTACTTAAAATACCAAAAAAAATTATACTGATTGCAAGTATTAAAATATGGTAAATAAAGCAAAAACATCATAAACCAAAAACTAGACATAACTAGGCATTCATCGTGTTGGTACTGCTCCCTGTCTTCTTGAGAAGGGTGTCAAATGATATATAAGTTGGTTTCCGTTTCTTTGAGTTTTGAAGTTCATGGTCTTTGAGGTGATATCTTATTTAGTACCTATACCAACAACATTGAAACAAAAAAAGAGTACATTAAAAATTTAGTAGAGTGGTTCATGAAGGAAAAAAAGTGTAATGAACAAAGAAGTTAACATAAAAAAACCTTTAAATCGGCTTTCACAAGGTGTTTTGGCCATGGAACAAAACTTTTATATGCCTGCTCAACTGTTTTCAATTCTAGAGTTTCATGGGGTAGAAATGAATCTTTTTTTACCAATTCATCAATGGTCCTTATTCAAGATTATTGTTATGTTTTTTGTCACCATTTAAAGTATAACTGATTTTTACAATTTTGATCCAAGCAATATAGTCACTTACTTGGAGAAGGGACCAAAAACATTACAAAAAAACTCAATGAAGGAGCAAAACTGGAAGAGAAAACTTGTGGGGAGTAAAATTGAAAAAATCAGCTAGACTCAAGGACCAAAAATGTAATTTACTAAATAAGAGAACAATGCTAATAAATCAATATTTTAGTTTTTATTGTTTTATATTACATACCTGGATCAATTCCATCGGTGTTGGGAGAGTCGGATGGAGCCAATATTGTAACATTTCGGATAACAACATTACTGTGTATAGACAAAAAAAAACAAAAAAAAGGTATACGTTAGAAGTTTAACATGGGAGTTTGTAACTATTTTTGTAAAAAATGGGTTTAGATATTAATAATACATGCAGTATACAGGATGAATGTTCCAGAAAGGTGAATTCTTGAAGATGACAATAGAAATAATGAAGCTTCTAGAATCCTTGAACTCAACAAGATTTGGTCTAGTGAACTGCAAGGTTCTCTGTCTCCACATGTTCCACCACACATCACCTTGCCCATATATTGTCCCATTCTCACCTGAAAATGATGATCAATTCATCAAAATAATACGTAAATATATAAAGTAATTTCAAGAGCAAGAATTTATGTATTATACATTATACATACCAGTAATAATGACATCATGGAGACCATCTCCATGGATGAAGCTCATGTACCTTCCACCTGTACATTCTCTTCCTCTTCCATAAGAAGGCAATGGAGCAATAAGAGGTCAGTTGGTTGTGTCCTGAACATAATCACAAAAGGATAATAAAGTTAATTACAATCATATTATGTTCTACTGTTTGCTAAACAAATAACTTTACAGATGAATTGTTTATAAATATAAGAAAGTATGTCTTCAATATAGCTGTCAATATAGATTTTGCACATAGGAACCCACTAAACTTACCATTAGCCCTGTTGTTTTCCGAAATAAGTTTTGCTTATGTTGATGCTTTGTCGTCCCTAATAAATTAAACTTTTTGCTCCTTTAATAAATCATTAACTAATCATCATGGGCAAAGTATTATACTATTATTCTCAAAACACAACATCACTTCAATTAGCAACAATGCAAAATAAGTACAAACTGTTTTTGGGAACTATATTTAATAGTCTGGTCTCCAAATAGCAACAATGCAAAATAAATACAAATTGTTTCTGGACTTGTGGAAGCACTGTGAACTACAACAGGAAGAACATTAAGTAATTGTTTTTCAAATATGCAGAGATTGTTGTTTTCCTTTTGTTTTGTAGCAAATTAAGTTTGTTAGCTCAAAAGTCAATAAACTACACCGTAACTTGACAAATTCAACAACCCATTTCAAAATTTGTACATTATAATCTGTGACAACCCGAAATTTCTATTTTGTACAACCATTCACTTCAATAGAAGTCAGAACAGTTTCTGCTAACTTTTGAGTTGTGTAGAGTCAGTTTGAGTGTTCTAAAGCCTAGTACTTCAGGAGATAACAGGAGAGAGGATGCCCTAGGGTTTATTGTGCAACAATAATGTCCTAAAACTCCAAGAGTTTGGAGTTTACGGCCTAAACAAGGTGTTTACGGCCGTAAACCCTAAGGGGGTATAAATATGACACTTAGTCATATTTACCACTTTTTCACATTTTCAAGATCCAAAACTCAAATCCTCTCAAGTACCATCCGATTTTCCTTCTTGATCTTCAACTTTGTAAGTGTTTTTTACCCTAAAAATTTGATATTTTACTTAATCTAGGGATCTTACATGATTCCATCCGTGAAATCATTCCATATGTGTAGATCTTCAAGTTTCACCAAGAACACCAAGAACACACACTAGTGTTCTTGGACTTCTAACACCTTTTCAAGCTTGTACATAGTAAGTACTCTTACCCTAGTGTGTTATAAGACTTGCTACACTTCTTAATCATCTAGAAAACATAAGGAAACAGAAGATCAAAGGTGTTTACGGTCCAAGATGTTCTTGGACCGTAAACCCTAATGAAGGGGCCAAAGTGTGCCCTAGTCCCTTACTAAGCCTTGGATACTAGTGTAGATACCATCCTTGATGTGCTTAGGACTTAAAACATCAAAACGACCATAAACCATTTGGGTTTACGGCCGTAAACCCAAGGAGAAATGGTCCAAGGACCGTAAACTCCACAAAGGGGTGAAATGGTGCCCTAATCACTTCCTAAGGCTTAAACATGAAGTAGGAATGCTTCTTATGACCATTAAAGCTTCAAAACACAAAATGGTAAAAGTACCATGAGTTTACGGCTGTAAACTCATGAATTACGACCGTAAACTCAATGAGAGTTGGTCCCAAAACCGTAAACTCCAAAAGAGTTTACCCTTGGACCCCAAACTCAATAGCCAAGTCCTACAACCCTTAGATGCAATCTTTAGTACTTATAACACTTAAATCAAGTGTTTTACATGTATTAGGATGTCTTAACTTGGTTAATTAGTTACTAAATGACTAATTGGATACATATATGTGTGATTATATGTTAATTAGGATCCTTGTGTGTGTTCAAGTCTTCACTTGACACTTAGCATCCTATGCTATCCGTTCATCCAAACCACTCACTACAGGTGAGTTCATACCCTTTAATCAACCTTTTAAATGATTTTAAATGCTTTTATGGGGGGATACAAGTTGAACTATTATAGTTATTATATCAATCACATGTGATTAATAACTACCAAACAAGTGGATTTCTTACATTTCAAACTGTGTTATCAAACTGTTTTACTTCAAACTGTTTTACAAACTCTTTCACATATCAAATACTTTTATTAAACCCTTTTAAACTTGTATTCTGTTAAATGTGTACATATATAGATATAGTTATATAAGTAGGATTGAAAGGACTTAGGACTGATAGCTCACCTTACTTCCTGTTCCTTGTTTGGTTGTGGACTTAGGGTATTCAGGTTATTTGTCCAAAGGTCGTTTGAATCCTAGTTATATATTATGTATATGTATATAGGTATAAAAGTTCCTTCTTTCATTCAGTTGAATACCTTTGGGTAGCAAAGGTATGCACACATGTTCATACATTCAAACAACATTACTAGTAAGCTATAATAGGTATAGTTTAGGGATATACTAATACTATTAATAGAACAGTGAAACATACAAAGAGTCAGTTCATACATGAGTCAATACTATACAGAGAGAACATAACATACATATAGAAAATACTATGATGAGAAACAAACAATACTATACAGAGAGAACATACATACATGCTAGACAGGGAGAGAACACACAATACAGCTAGCACATACATATACTAGAACACTACTACAGTTATGTGAGCCACGTAACGGGGCATGGCACTACCTGTCATGACTGTTTTGTATCCAGAATCTCCTTAAGTGGGGAGCGTATGAGTTTGTGTATAGATCTATATTGGATTGACTATCCTACACCTCGCTGCTCGCTACAATGGGACTTGCAAGTCTACGAGTGCCAAACGTTATTTCTTCCGACATCTTACATTGTCGCGTTCTATAGTCGGTAGCAGGGTATAGGCCGATCACATGGTACTTTCAATAACAATTGGTTTAAGGTAGTTAGTATAACAGTAGTTACAAGAGACACACACAGATACTAGATGCCTTGGTAGAAGGCTACTTTTAGTAGGAAACATAGGGTTTTCTAGGGGAGTTCAAACAATTACAAACTTTTACACCTTATACAATTACAGACTTACAAACACTTTCATACAAATACAGACACTAATATACTTATGATCTCACCAGCTTTAAAGCTGACAAACTCTTTCAAAATAACTTGTATTCTCAGGTCACCAATAGACAGGTACCGGAGCCAGGTTTTGAGAAGATGGAGCTCGTTCAAGACTCATCTTTTATTTTGATTCATATTTTTGGTGTCTATATAACTTGACAGAACATACTTGTATGAAATTATATTATTAATGCAATGGATGATGTTGTTGCTTGTTTACTACTATGCATTGTTGTGATACTGTACATGACGTCCTCCACCCCCGAACGATTCCGCCGTTCCGGTTTTGGGGTGTGACAGATTGGTATCAGAGCACTGTTTATAGTGAATCGAGTGTATCAACCCATAAAAGATATACGAACTATAAACACTACAGGATTAGAATACTCTGATAAAGAGCTTATACTTTTAAATAATAAAATATTTAACTAAGTATACATACCTGCATTCATACTAAAATCAGTGTCACTAGGACAGAACAAAAGTATTACGATTGTTGGGCAGCACAAGTAGACTTAGAGACATATGGTCAACCCTGGGAAGATATAGCCTGATCAACTATATTACCCGAGGAGTGATTAGCATGTGCCTAAGTGTGGTTGTGAGGTTGCAACAAGTCTAAAAACTTACCAACACTACTACAACGAGAACAATAGAACATAACATAAACTTAAAATACTATAGGAGTATTTTGTGTTACTATTAATTACTTATCTGAGAACTAAAGGTCTTTATTAGTATGTCAATAGTTGCTGAGTGGATACACTAAGGTTATATGTATCTAGGATATCATAGACTTAGAATCTGTGATCTTTGCTTTACTTCCTGTTCCTTGTTTGGTTGTGGCCTTAGAGTTAGGGTCACTTATTCGAAGGTCTATCCTGTCTTGGTTACATATGACTGGTATGCACTACGCAGATGTTGAAATAACTGATAAAGATCATCTTATAAATATCTAATTAGTTCGTCTATTTAGTTATTTCTTTATCCCTTTCCTCGCGTAGATATCATGGCTGGATTCCATCTTCCCAGAGACCCGTACTACCTCAACAACGGCAATGCAGGATGGCTGGGAGAAGAGCCAGAAGATGATCACCCAATCCCTTTGGATGATCACGAAGCTAAAGGTTTTTCTGATGGTTCTGACTCAGAGCCAGAAGTCAACAACCTACCCCCAGCTGCTCAAGGCCCAAACCCAAACCCTCGTCCAGCATTTCAAGGACCCACTCCTCTGTGGGCCACAAACTTGAATAGATGGAGTCAGGAACAGGGTCAACCCATTCCCTACAATGGAGATAGAAGCTTCTACAACCTCACCGAGGGAGGTTCAGCTGACAGGGTCCTACCCATCATGGTTCGTAGGATTTCTCGGAACACGGAACAAGGTCGAGCGACTATCGACCGAGTCATAGAGATTGACGCCAACTCTGGCGTTAACATGGTCCGCATTCGCCAACAAGAGTCTGCTCATGAAAGGACTCAGGTCCGTAATGCGGTTCTGCAGAGGGAACTTGCTGAAACCCAAGCTGAAGTCAGGGAACTTCGCGCTCAACAAGTGTTGGATTTCAAAGCACTCCATGGATGATGACAATGGGCCCCCTTGATGAAGTGTAGGTTAAAAGCCCAAGACTTGTATTTTCCCTATAAATAGTCATGTATTATTCATTATTAGGGTTAAGAGTGAGGCAAAATGTAGCCGCCACGTTGTGAGGTTTCTTAGGTAATGTTAGATTCTTTAGTCTATGCTGAAAGTGTAATTTATTCCTCATGTTTGAATAAATCGAGTGATCATTCGACCTAATCTTCATATTTGTGTTTGTTCTTATTTTCCGCATCTTGTTCATCAAATCTCAATTAGGGTTTTAATCCCAACAAGTGGTATCAGAGCGGGTCTTTGAAGATCTATTGATTTTTGAAGTATCGGTTCTTGATTTGATGATTTTCTGCACAAGTTATTGAAGATTTTTGGTGTTTTGGCGGTTTGGAATCA